TATGCATTATGTAATTGCATGTACAATTTCAATATCATATGTGTCTATGCAATATGTGATTGCACATACAATTTCAATAAGATATGTGTCTATGTATTATGTAATTGCACATACAATTTCAATATATGTGTCTATGCATTATGTAATTGCAGTACAATTTCAATTTGATATGTGTTTATGCATTATGTAATTGCATGTACAATTTCAATATCATATGTGTCTATGCATTATGTAATTGCACATACAATTTCAATATCATATGTGTCTATGCATTATGTAATTGCACATACAATTTCAATATACTATGTGTCTATGCATTATGTAATTGAACATACAATTTCAATATGATATGTGTCTATGCATTATGTAATTGCATGTACAATTTCAATATGATATGTGTCTATGTATTATGTAATTGCATGTACAATTTCAATATGATGTGTCTATGTATTATGTAATTGCATGTACAATTTCAATATGATAGGTGTCTATGCATTATGTAATTGCATGTACAATTTCAATATATGTGTCTATATATTGTATAAATGCATGTACAATTTCAATATATGTGTCTATGTATTATGTATTGCATGTACAATTTCAATATGATATGTGTCTATGCATTATGTAATTGAACATACAATTTCAATATGATATGTGTCTATGCATTATGTAATTGAACATACAATTTCAATATGATATGTGTCTATGCATTATGTAATTGCATGTACAATTTCAATATGATGTGTCTATGTATTATGTATTGCATGTACAATTTCAATATGATATGTGTCTATGCATTATATAATTGAACATACAATTTCAATATGATATGTGTCTATGCATTATGTAATTGAGCATACAATTTTAATATGATATGTGTCTATGTATTATGTAATTGCATGTACAATTTCAATATGATATGTGTCTATGTATTATGTAATTGCATGTACAATTTCAATATGATGTGTCTGCATTATGTAATTACATGTACAATTTCAATATTATAGGTGTCTATGTATTATGTAATTGCATGTACAATTTCAATATGATATGTGTCTATGTATTATGTAATTGCATGTACAATTTCAATATCATATTTGTCTATGCTTTACAAGATTGCAGTTATGATTTCAAACAAACTTCATTCATTCTGATATAATAGTGAATTGTGTGAAGGCAAGTGTGGTTCTGTATTGTTGAATGTTACCATTTAATTTTGACTGAATAAAATTAATAGTCAAACCTGCTCAAGCAAGCACCTGCATAAAAAGACCACCTCTGTATCTAGATCTAGTGATTTAATTTACTTTATAATAAACCAATATATTTTTGCATCTATATATAGAACAAACTGGTTGCAAGATCAGTTTAAAGTGGTTACCTGAGTGGTCTTGAAACACATAGTTTGTAACTTTTACCTGGAATTTCATATTGCTTAATATTAAACCAATAGATAAAATAAGGATGTATGCCCAGGTTCAGAATGTATCTATCATTTGTGCAAACAACATAGATAATTTACATGTAGATAACCTCATTATAATTATTTCCAATAAAATAAAAGACAAAGAGATGACACACTATAAATGTGCTTGTCCAGAATGGAGGACCAAGAGCAGTGTCTGAAAAGAACTGTCCTAAATGCAAAACTTAAGCAAGGTGTATACACTTGGTAAAACCGGCACATCATATCAGTAGATTGAAAAATTTTGATTCATTGATTGGCTTCTAATCAGTCGAATTTATTACTGACAGGAATTTTGTCAACATGAATCTGATTCTGATGGCAATGTTACAACAATAGTGAATGAGTACTAGTAAGGGTATTACTCAAAAAGGAGACTTTCTGCATCTCAGAGTCCACTCAAATATTTTTAATAAAATCCACTGATGATGTTCATTGTAATTAAGTTTCATACTTAACAGGCTGTCAATAGTTTTCTGGTCCCAATTTCCCCAGTGTGATGATCTTTTCATGTCTTAGGTAATAACATTTCCGCCCCATATATATATATATATATATATATATATATATATATATATATATATATATATATATATATATATATATATATATATATATATATATACACACATACATACAGTAGTACCCCTCTTGAACGCCCCCCCCTCACCAGCTACCACCCGCTCTTTACAGCCAGAATCTGATAGCACCGACGAATGTGTTCAAAATTACCCCTCACGAAAGGCCACCCGACTAACGCGACCAGCGGCCAGCATATTTTTGCAAAAACATAAAATTTACCCCTCACAAGTGGCCGCATTTTGTAATATGTATCTAGAACAATTTTTTTTTCTAATTGAGAAGTAATCCGATTTGTTTCCCGATGTCAGGTTTTCGTTCTTCAAAAAAATGTTCTACATGTACTACTAAGGTTAATATTATATCATTTATACTTCACGAGAAGCCACATTTATTCCGTAAAGCCGAGAAAGACTCAAATTGTATTCCTTACAGAAAGGTAATCCGTATATCCTTTCTGCGTGTTATCATAAGATGTCTGGTTTATCCGCTGATAATTGTTAAGATTACACTTATTAATAGTAGTAACATCGGAGAAGTGGCAATATTGATGGACTAGACCAAAGTCTGCGCGGAAAATGGTTTGATAGCCTTTATGGCTTCCCTTTGCAAGATGTTGAACTTACATAATTAATGGCTATTACTCCACAATTGTAAAGTTTAACGGCCGCGAGGTGCTATTGTCCAGATCAAATCGGCGTACATAGCCAAGCCGCTTTTTTTTTTTTTATAAACAATAGGGTACCAGACTGCGACTAATGAATCACGTGACAATAGCTGCCTTTAAAAATATACGGCGTCTTGTTTAAATGCAGAAAAAAAAATTGTTTAATCAGTCTTGTAGTTGCCACATTGATGACTATAACTGGACGTAAGGTCAAGATCACACGGTCCGCATTGGCTAAAAAGAGAAGCAGAGTACTAGACAAAGACCGAAAAATCACGTGACAACACAACTTGTCGCTTCTTTACGAAGAAAAAATTTCGTCCGCTCAACAAATGTGTCGTCTGCATAATTAAATCGCATATAGTTAGCAACATCGGAATAACTCCTTACCAAACATTAACATTTCATCACGTAAACGAAGATGATTATTTCAGAAAACGTCGGTTATTATAGTCTACGATATCCAGTGAGGTGGGAGAGGAACTGGTCAAACAAATTCAGGTAGAAAAGACTCGAATAAAACAATTTTATGTTGAAAAGACTCGAACAAATAGCATCTTAACCGATAAGTTATTTAGCAGCAGTGGGAAAATGGAGCAAATGGGAAGATAATTGCGTATGTACCAAGATTCAAATGACGATTTTGAATGGTTCTGCAATGTGTATGACAACTCCCGCTCACATATCATGCTTACGCCAAGAATAAGAACTATTAATCCATATTCAGTTGAAATAAGTAAACTATTATAGCACAAGAACAGTTCAATATTTAATGTTGCTTTTAAACGAAGATATTAAATGATTTGAAAAATGAAGCTTTCTTACTAAGTACATATACTAATCACAAAAAAATTTGCTCTTCCTCTGGAAAGGCTACCCGTCTTATAAGGTCACTTTCCCGGTGCAGAAGGGGTGGCCGTAAAAGAGGGGGACTACTGTATATATATATATATATATATATATATATATATATATATATATATATATATATATATATATATATATATATATATATATATATATATATATATAATTTTAAAATCCACTTTGTATGAGACACACAATGCAAACTAAGGACCTCTGCTATTCACCTACACTAACCTAAACTCAGAATTGCAAGTATTGTTAAACTTTAAATATTTTTGGGCCAAGTCAGGCTTTAGAACTGGGAAAATTTTGGCAATTTTGCATGAAGATACCAATATATATATATATATATATATATATATATATATATATATATATATATATATATATATATATATATATATATATATATAAGCTGCCTCCATAAATATCCTTGTAAAAAAGCATTGAAAACAATAATAATGAGACAAGAAACTGAATCAAAATGCTTATGCATGTATTCAAATTGAAATAATTTTTGTCTGTCTGTCCTTTTTATCTCACCTCTACCAAATGCTGGCAAATTTTTAAGCTGAGAATTGCAAGCCACTAAGGACCACCTTTTATTCCTCTATTACTTTCAGCACTTAAATAAATATTATTGCTGATAAATACCCCGTCTTTTGCCTCAACTCTCGACATTACAACAGTAAGATAACCCAGCTACAACTTTTGTATACACATGTCAGCCATGCCTAAAAATATGATTATTTTAATTGTTTTGAAACCAAATTCATTTTCAAAAGTGGTAGATTTCAACTACAAAATGAAATGTAATTTAAAGCAGTAGTTTTTGTCTCCCTGCTGGTAGAATCACATTTATGAAGGTGTGACAGATATGGTAACACTAGATGATAATATGACTGTTTTAGTGGACTATAAAAGTTACAGCACATATTAAATAGCTACCACACCTATTTCAGTTATAAAAACTTACCTGTATTTCTACATTGCTAAAATAGTCAGGGGTAATTCTCCAATATATGAAACTAGGGGCTATCAATAATCACACACAAATTGTGTCCCTTGAGATGAATTATATTCTGTACAATATAAGTCTGATGAAATTCAGCGTTTTCTTTTAAAGTAAAGAATTCCTCTCAAAGTAGGATTAAGACAAGGACACGTGTTCAAGAATATCTCAGTGTGTGTATGTGTGTATGTTTGTGACTGAGCTTGTTAACTTAGCTTTAACAATTTTTCAGTCATATCCTTATTATGTCTGCACAGTGGCAATTTATAGTGATGTGAAACACTGGGGTATCATGCCGCAGACATGTAGCACGATGTCCCAACCAGTCACATTAACCTAACACCAAGCCAACCAGCACTATCCTCTCAATGCTGAGTGCCAAGCGAAACTGCAGTTAGTACCATTTTTGGTATGATATGGCCGGGGATCGAATCCACGACCGTTCGCATTCGAGGCGGATGCTTTAACCACTAGGCCACCGGAGCGGTCAGATTTGATTCTAATTGTGTCAATCATACAAAATTTACTCTGCTGCCTTTCTCCTTAAAGAAGTATATACAGATAAAATCAAGCAGTATCCATTTTCAAAATATGTTGACGATTCCAGACGATTGATGAGTTTTAGAAGCAGAGATATGCCCAATAAGTGTAAATTTTCTATTAACAAAATGACCAATAACTTTTGATGGTCAAAACCTTTACAAGCTAAACTACTTGATTCTGTCTGGAAATGGTGCCCGTAGTGGTCTAAAGTGCACATCGTTACCGATCATTACCATCTCATCCCTCTCTGCGTGGGTTTGTGTCTCGGGTTCGACCAATGTGGGTATGTGAGAAAGCTTGACAAGTTTTATATGATATTGAACTTAAAATCTTTTATATGATATTGAATTTAAAATTGGTCCAACCCACCTAAAACCGGTCCTGCAATCACAGATACCTGACACCAGGCCAACAAGTACTAACACTAACTTCTATAATGCTGAATGGTAAGCGAGGCAGCTACTAGTACCATTTTTTAAAGTCTTTGATATGACTCGCTCGGTGTTTGAACCCACTATCTCCTGTATTCAATCAGACGCTCTAACCAATAGGCTACTGGTACGGTTTGTTCAGGAATTAGACAATGACCATCCCTAAACCCACTATGCATATCAGGGGTAACATCTTAAATAGTAGGACTAGGGTACCAGTCTAATATGTTGCCCAGTTAGCAACATTAATACTATAGCAGTCCATCATTCAAGCATTCATTTCTAATTTCTAAAACAGCAATGCAGCCAGTGCCTTTAAATTAAATTCTTTACTGACCACCTAACAGGGCCTTCAACGTGACAACTATTAATTCATGAACATCATTAAGATTCAAATAAAGCTAGTCATAATAATACATTAAATACTGCATAAGTAATAAAAACTTTGCACTGTTCATTTAATTCTACAGAAAATATGAATAAGGAATCTCAAGGTAGAAACAATCATGCTGTGACAAGGAATGCCCCCCCCCCCTTACACACAGAGGCAGTGTTCTCAATAGATTTCCATACTAAAGAGTCATTTGTCAGTTAATTCAAAATTATCAAGGGCATTTTTATAACGTGTCTTCTCAAACGCTGTAATTTAAGTCATTCATAACACTATGCTGTATACGTTTCGATATTGCAGCTATTTTTTTATTGTGCTTTATACATGAAAAATAATGGTCTGAAAAACAGCAGATACTATTACAGTATCATCCTACTCTATTTTAATGATGTATTGTTTTGACTCCACGTAATTAACTCTGTTATCAAAAGACTGAATCTCTCAATGACAAAAAATATACTTGTCCTAAAAATCCATTTCACTAATTATCCTGTTTTGAATCAGTAAAGTTCTCATCAAAGTCCTTAGTAACAATTTCGATGGGGCACACCACCAGCTGCCTAAAACAATCAGTTACTAAACATGTGATGGCAATATGACAGACAGTGGACTCCTACATCAGTAAAACTGTGCAGAATACTCTAATATCAGTAAAACTGTTCAGAATACTCTAATATCAGTAAAATTGTTCAGAATACTCTAATATCAGTAAAACTGTGCAGAATACTTTAATATCAGTAAAACTGTGCAGAATACTCTAATGAATTCTCAAGTTCCATGCGGAGCTGTTGTAACTGATGTTTCAGGTGGTCCTTTCTTGCTGTAATATGCGCATATTTACAATAAACAAATGCTTTGATGACACGTTTCATAGTTGTATTTACTTTAGGGGCCGTGTGGCTGAGTGGTCTATAGCGCTCACCATTCCTGATCACTGTTGTGGGTTCGAGTCTCAGGCTTGGCTAATGTAGATACATGAGAAAGTTTGCCAATAGCTTCTTTTGGGTCGGTGGATCTTCCCGGTGTTTTCCAGGGTTCTTCTTCCACCAGTTATACTGGCCACCATGTATAGCCTATCTTGTGCTGGAAAATGGCATTAAACCCTACAACAACAACATTTGTTATCTATCAAAGTACTATGATCTTGGATAATGATAAAAATAATTTTATTTTTAAAAAAATTTTTTTCAATAATTCTTTAACAGAATCTTGATATTTAACTTAATCTGACCTATATAATTTAGTTCTTCTGAAGATAAAGTTAAGAATGACAATAAATTAAAATTAAAATCTTCTTCTGTAACTTTGTCTACAATTTTCTGCACTTTTCGAGAAATGAGTTATGATGGATGCATATGTACAATGGTGATTGTTTTAAAAAGGGTCATCAGCTAAATTTAAGCTATATTTTACAAACAAGTAAGCGATTTTATTATAATACCACATTTTCCCCCCAAATTTTATTAATTTTGCTTTCGAAACAAAATATCTCCCCCAGTCAAAATCATGATAATTACAAGAAAACCCCTTGAAATGATAAAGTGAGGTTTTTTGTCGCATTTTCCTTGTAAATATGAGTTTTGTATGTACTACAGTTGTTACTCTAAAACACTGTTTTATACTGGATCATAAAATACAACGGTGGCTCAGGGGGTAGTAGACTTGTGTGATGCGAAGTGCGACAAATCTCATTTCAATTAGTTGGAGCCATATACAATTCGATGATATCACCAAGATTTGCATGTGGTAAATAGGAACAAAACAGTATTTTCAAAATCCTTTGTCACCTACATGTATTTGTCTAGTTACATTGAGTATGCTATCTAAAGAGATTGTGTGCCATATGCATGTGTGTGTGTGTGCGTGTGTGTGTTGTCATTTTCTAAATATACATTATATTTACTAGTTTATTTGGAATCAATAAATATTTGATTGTAAGGTGACCTTGGTATGGTTCCCCTACCCAACGGTCAACCTATTACGGGGATGATAAAAAGTTGCATGCAAATAAAAAAATTAAAAAAAAAAATGATTTGTACGTGAGGACCATATATTTATGCCACAGGTTAGTGTCGTCTTCTAAAGTCCAGTCTAGACCAACTATTAACCGTGTGCTAATAATTGCAGAGAAATATCACTTTTATAAATCCATAGCTCTGTATCAATGTAAAAACACATCAGTCAAACAAATATTACAACAGACTTATTTGCCCAAGAAAACTGTTGTCAACACCGTATGTTGATGTTAGCAATATGGAGGTTGTTAATTGGAATCAGGCGACAATTATTAATGCTGGTTCAGTACCCACGAGTGTACTCCCATCCTATTTTAGATCATTTTTTATTCTCCGTTTGGTGGTGATACAAGAGTTAGATTTAGGCATTCTTGGTAACGATTTAAAGGCAATAGTTTATTCTTTAGAATGTGAGATTATGGTGTGGTTGTGTGTATTTCGGCGACAGTGCACAGTGAATAATAAGGTCATGGTGATGATTCGAAAGTGAAATCTGTGTTCCGTTGCATGATGTTTTGTTTACAATTCAGCCTCTCAAAAAAATGCAGGTCAACCCTTGACAAAAACGTCATCGTGAGGTCAACTTTAAAGGTATTTTAGACTAACATTTATTTGTACTGATAGTCACACAGTGGAAAGTTCATTGCTGAGAAACAAATATAGTGAATATATAGTAAAATTAATTGTGTTCTATGGCCAATTATAGTTGGAGTTTCGCAGTTGACTCAGTCAGATGCTGCTGTCATTCGTATATATGTATGGAATAGTCCTAATAGAATAAACTTCATTAGGACCTTGTGTGAAGTGTAGAGATACAAATAGTAACCTGAAGAGTTTTCCAAACTTAATAATTAATTTTCAGCAGGAATATGTGTTAATGTGAAAGTTCTCTTACATACCACGTTTTGACATGGCCGTCCGTTTCCATCCCATTCAGTAACAACTAAATCGAGAATAAGCTAAAGTCTAAATGTACCTCCCCATTTATTTGTACCCACCCCTTTCCAATTTAACAAACACAAGCACAAATGCTATCAAAGATGCTCTAAACTTAATCAGTTAACTTATTGATATATAATTTCAAAACTGATTATCCCGGGGCAGGGGGATGAGCTAACAGAGTTATCATCTGCATGTTTCATTTCAAATAAAGTTTTCGGTTTAAAAGAACACCATTCTTGTCATTCACTTCTAGTTCCTGGACAAGTCCATTTTCAGCGAAGGAGTATATGCAGGATTAAACATAGAAGGAAAATACTATGTTGTCTGCTTCCTATATTTATAATGCAGAATCAAGCAAAAGAAAAGAATGACAACTATAAATGTGCCTTTCCCGTGGATTTAACATACGGTGTAATTTCTTTATTCATGGGAAGAAAGATATATGAAAGTTTATTTATCAACGAGTCTGTCATGTACAGAGTTTTATCTTCTGTTGTGACATATTTTATCAAGAGTGAGAACTGTATAAGTTTTGAAAGGGACCAACCATTTACTTTTCGAGAGTTATCAGGTACTGACACTGAGGTATTCCATTTTCTTTTCTAACTTTTTAAATGTTCTTTCTCATTTTCGCTCTTTTTCTGAGATAAAAGAAACCCAATGACAAGAACAATATTCTTTTTGTACTATAAGTTCATTTTGCTCTGCTGAGAGAGAGAGAGAGAGAGAGAGAGAGAGAGAGAGAGAGAGAGAGAGAGAGAGAGAGAGAGAGAGAGAGAGAGAGAGAGAGAGTGGCGATCCACGTCTTCGTTAACTCTCTCTGACATCAATTTGAACCGTTTATAACATGGGGAATATAATAATTAAGACATTTGCACATGTATTGTTACTTACAATTTAACTGTCATTCATAATATTTTATATATTATGTACATGACATAGTTAAATATAAGCAGTAAGCATGGGTGGAACGGGACACAAGCAAGTTGTCACAGATGATAACGAATGAATGAACGGACAGCTGTTTTAGACGAATATAATAAACAACTATATAAAGAATCTTTTTGTTTTTTACAAGCTTGATCTAGTATGTATTGCAACCTTCCAAGAGTTAGGTCACAGGCACATTAAGTCTTGAAGCAATAAAATCCACATACA